CTGTAATTTAGTAAGCCCTAAATGGTTGGTTCCAGAGATTACCAATGAATATCCAATTAAGTTTCTTACCCAGTTATTTTTGGTAGGCAACATATCTTCCGACTATAATACCCAATTTATTTCCAGAAGAATCCCCCAAGCCACTCTCCTAAAATCGCCAGCTTCCTTACAGAGACTGTTTATAAACTACTTGCTTATCTAGTCTCCTGTTCTACATACCCAACATCATTTGGGCCGTTTCTCTGAAAGAGATGGCTGCTTTTCAAGTTTAAAACCTGCTTCCCAAGCGAACATGACTAAGAACAGAAAACAAAACAAAATAAATTTAAAGCCTACTTTCTTTTTATTTCTAATAATGCAGTCAAAAGTTAGCTGGTTTATCATTTTTATAATGTACAACTACAGAATGTCACATGCAATGAGAGAACACATTTAGGGCTCAAATGCTTTCGAACTTAAGTAAGATATATTTATAGATTGTCAAATAGTAGTAGCTTTAAAACAGCAGTAAAATTCTACCCCATAGCAAACAGTCCATTAACTAACATATACTCCTTCCCCTTTTTTTCTTTAACTAGTTTGGTTTATGTAAACCATAACCTTTTTCAGGAAAAGAGCCTTTTTTGGTGTTCTGTAAGATGAACATTCTCCGAGAAGCTTAGAACTCTGTAATGAGCTCCTGGCAAGGCTAGACTTCACAGCAATGTTCGGTTTTCAAAAGGAGCCCAAATGTTTTTCCATCATCTCAGAACTATGCTGGTCTCTGGAAGGCACAGTACCTACCTCAATAAATTTCACTTCATTTAATTCCACTTATTAAGTTTTTTAACTTCCTATCAAGTATGGCTCAGTACTCTGTTAATTCCATCTCAATACATACCTAATACATACCTGTCTTATACTCACAACTGTGATTAATCAATTCTACTTTAAATGCTTGGCTAAGCAAGATCAAGATACATAACACTAAACAAGTGGCTTATTTATTTTCAATGGTCGAGCATGACAAATATGTACATTAACTATTTTTCATTAGTAAACATGCTTCCAAACATAAAACTTATTAGTTTATAAAAACTGTCAGAGTATTGAAATGATGTAATCGGGATTTTTCTTTAAAATAATCTGGTTGGGGAGGAGAGCAGTAAGTGGGGATATAGAACAAATAAGACCGGTAGTAGGTTTACTGAATTTTTCTTTCTACTTTCACATATGTTTGGGATTTTTCATAAGTTACATACATACTTAGACACCTACTTCCTAGCAAAATGCTCACTTTCTGAGTATTTTCCAATAATCTCACATTTCTCTGAAATAAAGATCCCCTTCTTCAGAAGTGCTGTTTCCAATGCTTGAAAAATGTCCTTATTCTGATAGAATTAAACTATTAATTTGGATAGGATCCTCAACAGATGGCTGAATGAGTCAGGTGAGGCAGGCAGGTTTCAACTAAGTCATTCTCTAGGATCTTTTTAAGGAATTCTATAATAATGTTATGGAAGCAAATTCCCAAAATGCTTGAACACAGCCACAAGTTTTCTCAAAATTCTACAGCCCTTGTATAAATCTAGCTTCTAATCTGTTCTACTGAAATGCTGGGAGACTAGTAAAATGGAGCAAAAAAGTTGCTTGCAGTATGTAGGTAGGTGGTACTCACTGCCTTCTAGTAAACACAGCCCAGTGATATAAGCCAAGTGAACAATTCCTCCACTGCCTCTGCATAACATCAGGATAGTAATAAGGGTAAAGCTAGTGTGACAGGCAAGTATGCTCCCCAGCTCGCACCTTTTTAACTGGGAAGGCAGAGGCTTTCCTCCTACAAATATTAATTCTACAATTTTACCTAAATCCATCTCTGCCACTGCTAGACAGCTATTTGAAAAGTCAAGGGCAGCAAAATGCTATACCATCTACTGAAAAATAGTGAAGTAGTGGAGCATCTACTGGAGCAACTACTATAATAAAGGCCTCAGCTTTCCTTTCATTTCTCAAACATTACAGATGACATTAAATATATATTCTTAATGGTTAAACACTAGATGCTGACATAAACTGAAGAAATTGTTTCTATATACTTTACTTCTGAAGACTTTTTAAAAATTCAAATTGTATTATTTAAGACTGATTATTCGATCTCATGGAAACTAAGCCTTGTTTGCATCTTCCTATAGAAGCATAAAGTACTAAAACACCAGGATTCAGAAATTTGGTATTACGACCATGCAAGGTGATAAAATTCAACTCTAGATTGGTAACCTCTGAGCAAGCAAAAACTTGCATGATAACCATGATCACTCTATTCAAAACACAATATTCACAGTAAACAGCCTATGTGGAGAGAATTTACTCCTGAGTTTATGAAATCACAAAATGGGCACAAAATAAATCCCAGGTGCTAGATCGATAGAGCCTAAGCTGTTTAGATATTTTCCAGAAGCCAGAAAAATCAAGATTACATATTGAAGTGAAAGAATTAACATTTACTGAGTGCCTGCCAAGTGCCAGGCAACTCTGCTGAATGTGTGACATACTACCGCATTTAAAAGGCAAAGGTAATTTCTATAATGACATTTTACAGAATGTGAAGCTAGAAAAGAAAAAATTTTAAACTTGCTTATGACCACAGACATAGAAAATGTCAAAGCAACAATATAAACCCAGGTGTGTCTTACTTCAAAGTCCAGGATCAAACTATTCTATGGTTACCAGATCTTGAGAACCCTGGAGAAACTCAGAAGAAATAAGCAAACATTTCAACTCAGAAATAAAATGAACAAGTTCAGCTTTCTCCACAATCAAGAAATAAGCTATTTGTACAAAAGAAAAATTCTGCACTGAAAGAGTGACTGGACAAGATGACCTTTTATGGTCCCTTACAACTTATAACCTCCAAAACTAGATCCAAGTAATCAGGATATTTATCAGGATTGACACTATTTAGATCCATAATCTCAGGCAGGCTACTTGCTAGTATCAGTTCAAACTACTCCATTCAAACTTTACTTTTTAATACTCTTTCCTGATTTCTCTAATCTTTTCTTCTCTTTTGCTTACTTAGTCCCAATTTTCCTAACAGATGTCTTAACTGCTTGCATAGAAAAAGTGAAAGGCCAAATCTGAACTAAGAAAATCTACTACGATGTAGGGAGGTAACTAATATCTTGCCCTAAGGTTAACACAATCTATTTCTGTGTCTATACAACATGTAAATAAAGTAAGTATACTCACAATAGTACTACTCATTTAACTCCATATGTGTGCAAAGTTCACATCATTCCTGAACCTCAGACTATTCAATAAATTGGACATCCACCTCATCAGACTCAGGAGAAAAGGGTAAAATCCAAACAAAAGCAGTATTAATTAAGCCCATAGTGATTATCTAGCTTAAATGTTTTCAATTCAAGCAGGATTTGTAGGGTTTTCAGTATGTGTTGGAAGGTTAGGAAGGTTAGAAGAATAAAACATTCATTAGTGAATCAAAACCACAAAAGACACTTTCCAATTCATACATAACTCTATCTGAACAAATATACAAACATTTTGAGAACTTTGTTAATAAGTCTTAACATTCTGGGCTCGAGACTTTTGTAACTATTTAAAAATAAAAACAAACTGGAACGCAGTAGTCATAATGTCATCTGAAGCCATATGCTGGGCCCCCAAGTAATTTTCAAAAGCAAAGGACTAAGGTAAATCTGGTTCAGATCTATAAGGCATTGGGAAAAAGTTAACACTGGCCCCCTCATCTACTCCAATTACCAAATCAATGTTTCTTTGGGTGTCGTCTGTGTGTAGGTGAATAACACTCACTCAACTCTCAATGTTTTAGGTCGCTCTGTGAACTTACCCAGGTTTCTGACCACTAACTGCTGTCAATGTCAGTACTCAGTTCATCCTTTTCGCACAGCGAGGGGGTGGGGGCTAAAAGTTATTTTAGTTTGCTGTTTTTATTTGTCATCCGTGAAAAAAGGTTGTAATTCAACCACAATATTTCACTCATCTAACTGCTCGAACAAAACTACAAATGGCCCCGGGAGACCTGAGCTCGAAAACTCAGAGGGGCTCGCAAGACTTCCCACATGGCATAAGCCTGCGGCCCAAGCCCCGACTTTCCGGTCTCGTCCCGGCGAGCAGCCGCAGACCGCGAGGTCTGCACATGGGCCGGCCCTGCCGCTGCTGTCACCGCCGCCGCCAGCTGGCGGAGGGCAACCAGGCTGGGACGCGGGCCCGCACCGAAAGCCGGGGCCCGTACCGCCGCCGCCCTGCCGTGGCAGGTCCGGAAGGCCAGGCCGCCCGTCTCCGGCCCGTGCGGCCAGCTAGCGGAGAAGAGGGCAGCCGGCCCTACGCTCGCGCCCGGTCCCCCGGCCCACAGGCCCGGGCAGCGCCCCTGGGCCCGGAGCCCTCCCGTCCCGGCCCGCACCCACCTTGACGTCCTCGTCCTCGTCCTCGCCTTCCCAGCGGTCCCCGCCGGCGGGGCCGCCGCCGCCCCCCACCTTCCGCACCGGGTCTTCCACGGAGAACGCGTCCGCGTCTGCGGAAGAGAGCGAGCCGCGTTAGTGCCTGCCTCGGCTCGGGGCCAACGCGAGCCCGGGCCCTGACCCCGAAGCTCCCCCTCACCCCAGGAGTCGGAGTCCGCCGCCGCCGCCGCCGCCGCCGCCGCCATCTCGGGCCGGGTGTGCGCGTGGGTGCGCGGAACGAGCGCGGAGCTGGCGCGGCGGAGGTGAGTCACTGGCTTTGCTCTCGATGGCCGGCGCGGGGCAGGATGGGACCGAGGCTGACTGCAAGCCGGGGCCAGGCCCCGCCCCCCGTCGCGCGCGCGCGCGCGAAGGGAGCGTGGAAAGAAGGCCGCAGAGCCGGGGTCCGGCGGGAGGCCGGGGCGGAGCGTCCCGCACCGCGCGACGCTAGGCAGTCCTGCCGGCTGAGGGGCGGGGAGAGAGGGCGCGGCCCGGAGAATGCCGCTCCAGCTCGGGCCCCGGGGAGGAAACGTAAGTGCGGAGAACTTGGCAGGGCGGTCTCTTGCCTGGCGCTTGGCGTTCGCCTGTCCTTGCCAGCCGTCTCCTGCCAACCCCAGCTCCTCCCGGCCCGGTAGGGTGGGCCTCCCTCAGGTCACTTTGATTGCCGCCTGTGGCCGCTGGCAGATGCCAGGGAGACCCCCAGCCTCTCCACGCCGCTCTCAGAAGCAGGCTCTGAACGTCACTCCCGCCTCTGTGGGCGGGGCACTGGCCTCCCTCCCCGGCGGCACACTTGGGGAAGGGGTCCCTCTGGCTTCCACGGTGCTTCGAGTCAGTTCCTGGCGCATTTGCCCTGAGTTAGGAAGGCATCGAAGAGAGCCCCAGCGCTGGACCCTTTTCTCTTCCTGAGCCCCTTGAGGCCCGTACATGATTCATTCTTTCCCAGAATAATTTCGTAACTGCGTTAGGCATCAGCTCCATCCTTGTCCTCAAGGAGCGCACAGTCAGGTAGCAAAGATAGACATGTAATCAAGTAACGACACAGTGTGATGAATGCAACAAAATGAATCATTGTGAGGTTAAATGTAAAAAGGTAACATTAAAGGTGGGGGTTGGGCAGCGGGAGGATGCATGAAGGGCTTCCTGAGGTAAGCGTGGTGGGAACTGGGTTTTCAAAGACCCAGGGAAATCGCTCAAGTGAATTTCGGGTGGAAAGAACGTCAATTGCCCCTGACCTGAATGAGTGACACAATGGAAGATAAGCTTAACAGGTAAACTGATGACAATAAAGGTTTTAAGATGGGCTAAGCTGCACTCTTGCCCTTTGGGCCACTGGGTTCATCTGCAGGGTTTTAAGAGGTGAGCAGTTTCAGATATTATTTTGCTTTTGTGGCTTTCTTAATTTAATTTCCAGTATGTAATGCAAGTACTTGGAACAACGTTCAAGTTATAAAAGGGTATATACAGTAATGAGCCTTTCTGTTCTTTCTGGTGGCAACCATTGTTCTCCATTTCTTGTGTAATCTTTTCAGAGTCTGGAAATAAGTCTTCGAAGAGATATTCTATAGCCCCGTTACTCAAAGTTTGTACCTGATCAGCAGCAACACCTGGGAAGCTTGTTAGAAATGCAGAATCTGCAGAATGTCAGGCCCTATCCCAGATCTGTTGAATTAGAACCTGCCTTTAAACAAGATCCTCATATAACTCTACATGAAAATGTGAGGAACATTTTGATATACAGGCATCCATTTATAAAGATGGATTGGAAGCAGGCAGGGAAAGGCTGGAATGTAAGGTCCCTAGGGCACAATTTATCTTTTATTCAGTTGTGCCTGAGCATTTGGCCCAGTATCTAATATTAAGTAAATATGAATTAATTAAATGAGAATACAAAGCTAAAGTAAGGCAATAGCAAAGTAGAGGAAGGAACCAATCTGAGATTTAAGGGCCAAAATGAACAAAATTTAATGGCTGTGATGGTTAATTTTATGTGTCAGTTTGGATAGGCCATGGCACCCAAGTTTTTGTGAAACAGTCTTGTTGCTGTGAATATATGTATTTATTATATTTAATTGATATTCAGGTCAGTAGATTGAGTAAATCTGCAGATTACTCTCCAGAATGTGGATGGGTCTCATCCAATCAGTTGAAAGCCGTAAGAAAACCCAGTGAGGAAAAGGAATTCTGCCTCCTGACTGCACTTGGATGCTGTAACACCAGCTCTTTCCTGGGTCTCCAGCCTGCTGGCCCTCCCTGCAGACTTTGGACTTGCTGGCTCCCACAGTCATGTGAGCCAATCCTTAAAATAAATCTCTTTGTGTATATATACATATCATATTGGTTCTGTTTCTCTGTATAACCTTAATGCAGCGACTGATTGGATATGGGGGAGAGGGGGAGGGAAAGGGAGAAGTAGAGGGTAATGCCTTTGGAGATTGAGTGGTGGCAACACCCTTATATAGGCCCTGGAGTCAAAAACCTGGGAGCTATCCTTGCTTTCTTCCTTTCTCTCAGCCTCTGCATTCAGTCTACCTCCAAGTTCTGTGATTTACTTCATCTTAGAAGTTACTAATCTTCAATCCATTTAATTTCCTCCATATATCTTACAACCACCTCAATCCAAGCTTTCTCTAGACTTTTCTACCATAATAACCTCCCAGTTGTTTTTTCCCTTCTTCCACTCTTCATCCTCTACAGTCCATTCACTATATACCAGGCAGTTTTTGCTTATTTAAAAATGTAAATCACATCATGACACCCCTTTCTCCCAGTTGAAATCCCTTTAGTGGCTTCTTATAATTTTGAGAGTAAAATCCAACTTCTTAAAAGTGGCCTACAAGGCCGTGCATAGTCTGACTCTTACTTCCCACTAGCCCTATGCCAGTCTTTCATTAACTTCATTCCTATTGGCCCTCGAGCCTACTAAGCCTTTTCTTATTTTTGAACTTTTTACTTGCTGTTCCAACTACAATGCTTTGTTCATTCTTCTTTTGCATGGTTGGCTTTTCTTCCTCCTTCAGCGTTCAAATGTTATCTTTGCATAATAAAGCTCTTCCCTGCTTCCCCTACTGCAAGGGGCCTCCCCCAATTACTTTATCTCATCACTCTGTTTTTGTCATGGCATTTATCACAATCTCTAGTGATCTTGTTTACTTATTTAATGCCTGTTTGAAACCCAGGGACCTTGTCTGTATTCTTTACTACTGCATTCCCAGGAGCTGGCATGTAGCAAATGCTCAATGTTTTTGAAAACAATTGAATAGTGTCTCATGTTAATAAGGACAAATTAAGTTTTGGCCACACAATCTTGATATTCCTGTGGGACATGGAAATAGGAATGTCTAATGTGCATTTGGAACCAGAGGTCTGAGCTACAAAGGATTAGGAGTCATCTGATTATGGTAGTGGATGGAGTCATGTGAAAGTAGAGGCCATCTGAAGATAGGATAGAAGAAGGAACCTTGAAGGTTATTAACATTTAAGGAGAAGCTAAAGGAAAAACTTACAGAAAGGATAGTAAAGTTATTATTTTTTTTAATATGTATCCTTCCAATTCTACCACATTTTTGTTTGTTTTGGGGGTTTTTTTTGTAAAAAAAAGTTTTTTAAATACTGTGGATTATGGTATATTCAAAAATTCACTATTGGAAGTCAGGAGAACTGAGTTCTAGTTGTTCTAACGATCAGATTAGATTGAACCAAACACTGGACAATCCTGGGGAGGGGTGGAAAAAATTCACAGTGATTCCTCCTTTTCTGGAAATTGACCTGGTAGGTAAGAGTAAGTGGACCCCCCAAAGCCATGTTTGTTCCTGTAATAGCTGATTTGCAGAAGCAGATTGACTGTGAAGTTAATGTAACTTCAGCTTCAGGTCTCCTTGTTGCATGGGCCTTTCTGTTCTTCAGGAAAGCCCTCCAAATTGTATGTTTCAAACCATATAAAATCTGGATCTGCTGCTAAGTGAGATGTAAGTAATCCAGTGGAATCATCAGATTCTCTGGAAACTAGTTTCCAGAGATGGCCCTTCAGTGACCAGCATTCAAGCCCGTACGTAGTTTCCTCTCTGAGACTGGGCTCATCTGATGGTTCATATCTGAGCAGTAGAATGGGGCAGATGTGACACCTAAAGGTAAGCTGTTAACATGCCCTGTGGCCTCACCTGTGCCTTTGGGGTGCTCAGTCTTGGGAGAGCCAGCTGCCATTCAGGCATTCTTACTACCCTATGACTGCTGTGCTGTTTCAAGCTGACCATATAGAGAGGCTGTTCAGGGGGAGAATAATAATCAGCCAGCACCTGGCTTTCCCAAACATCCCAGCAGAGATGCCAGACTTGGGAGTGAAGAAGCCATCTTAAGTCTCCAGGCGAGTTGGGCCTTCAGAGGATCCCACCCCAAGCACCATTTGAAATGTGACCACGGAAGACCCCAAGCAAGAGTTACCCAACTGAGCGTAGTCAACCCACAGATCTGTAAGAAATAAGCTATCTTAAGCTTCTTAAGTTTTGAGGTGAATTTTGCAGTGGTAACAAAAAGATTCTTTCCCGGGACTTTAGAATTTGGAACTCAAGACTCTTAGTGCCTTGGAGTTGGCGGCTGATGACAGCAGCCTGAAGGGAAGACCATGAACTCCTGAAGATTTCCCAGGCCACCATACTTCCTCCTGCCTAACCTTCATGCCCAGTTGTCCAGCTCTCCCTTAAATGCTATAAGGTACCCCAGTATCTTCCCAGTAAATTCCCTTCTTGACCGCGGCTAAAAATTTTAACAAATGCATCTCTAATTAAACGTAAAAGATGTTTAGAGGCTAAGCTCCACTGTACTTGTCTGTGTACATAGTTTGGCATATAGTAGGCATTTAATAACTATTGAATGACTGCATGAATAAATTTTTATGCAAAACTTTTTTTCCCTAGGAAAACCTGCCCATCAAGCCATTGTTTCTCTTCATGAAAGGTAGTCTCAAAAGAAAAATACAGTGGGGTCCCAAAGAAAGACGCATCTGTATTACATTACTAGCAAGCCCACAGCACTGTAGCAACCTCAAGTAGGAAATAGTAAGTGGCTAAGAATGTGCCAGCTCCAGCTACTACAAGGTGGAGTCTCAGGAGAGCAAGACTCTTTCTTAAGTGGTAATGTAGTCATCTGTATCAATGTGCCTGAAGGTGTTCTAAGGTATATTAGGGGGAAAAATGTAAACAGAAAGGAGGTGCAATATAGGGAAGGTGAGGCCAAAGAACAAAATTTTGATAATCTCTAGAGAAAAGGTTAGGCTGACCTGCAGACTTTTGGCAGATACCTAGTAGAAATGAGGGCATTCTATTGACTTGTTATTAGCCATTATTATTTTTAAAATAGACTTTCTGATTCTACACTTACCAGTCAGGCAACTGATTGTGATTTAGTTTCATAAGGAGGAAACTTGCAACAGTAAATGAATTAAACTGAAATGTGGCCTAAAAATTAGTGTCTTTTTAGTTTAATTAGTATGAATCAGTTCCCCTGAGTCTCATCAATTCTGGTCGCACTGAATGAGTCGATTTTCTGGACTTAAAAATAGAAGTCCAAACTTTGAAATGAGTTCATTCCTTCATTTATTCAACAAATAATTATTGAGTGCCTGCCCTCAAGTACTATTCTAGGTTTGGGGGATATTAAGTTCAAGGTATTAAACCACATATAATTGAAAACAGGGCTTGGGGTTGGAGGTGCTATGGAAAAATACATGGGCTATGTGTATGCAGCACTGGTAAACTTTTGAAGTAGAAATTAAGAATTTACAACATTGTGCCTGCTGCTTTTTGAAATAAACTGGGAAAAAGCAATTGTCTAGAACTATGTGCTGGGGACTTCATTTAGTTCTTAATACTAACCTGTGACTCTGTAAGCCCACATAACAGTATTCCTATTTTACAGATGAGCAGAATAATTGATCAATGTTTTTTGGACAAATTAACATTAAAACCTCTGCCTTCAAGAACTTCGTCAAAGTATAGGATTGTAAATGACAGAAATGAAACAGGTGATCATGGCTTTTAAGTGGAAGTGCCTCAAGTACCAGACTCAAAATTTCATACAGATGAAATAAGGTAAAACTGAAGAGCTTTTAATTACAAATAGACCAGGTTAAAGCTCAGTTATAAAATATCAAATTCCTGAGTTATTACATGTTAAAAGATTTGCTTTATAAGATTTAATATAGAGATCTTTTTCATTTCAACCTCCTCCCTCCTCAAAACCTTACCCAAGAACCTTAAAAGACAGGAAATGACAGCATCTGTCTCCATTCAACTCCTGTACACTTTTCAATACTTAACTTTTACAGGGTACCATGAAATCCTAGAGTACTTTCTTATTCTTTTCAGTAAACCAGACAAGCCGTACACTAAATAAGAGTATCGATCTCTTGACCTCAGATGGTCCATTATGATGACAGCACCCAGTACACTGACCATATGTTGTCTTGGAGAAAGGGAATACATTGTGTGAAGGAATAGGTCAACTTCTGTGTAACTTTTCTAACTGATTTCCACACACGCTCTCTATCCCTTATGCATTAAGACAAACTGATGATTCACTCCCTGCTTGATTTTACTAACCCCACCCAACAAAGCTTAGCTTTACATTTTTTTTTTTTTGCAGAGTGAAAGTTTTATTTAGTTACTTAGAGAGAAGTGCAGCAGGCAGCCTCAGCAAGGAGAGGCTCCCTGAAAGGTTGGAGAGAGAAAGTTTATTAAAAGGTTACGTACTTAGAAAGTGCGGGCAACTTCAGAGAGGAACGCCGCTTTACATTCTTTAAATATTCTACAGATCTGTTTAAACAATACTTTTTCAGCCAACCCAAGTCTGACTTCCAAACTAGTTTATTAGCACCTCCGAAGCCCCTCTTCTTCTTCATGACCCTTTTGCCAACAGAACCGTCAGTCCCCACTGCTAGACCATAAGCTTGAGGGCAGCGTCAGGTTGGTTTTATTCTGCCACTTGCAGAGCCTGGCATAGTGCCTAACATATGGCTACGGTAGTTTAAAAATGACTTCTGTCATTAGAAAAGCTAGTTATAGCTACCTTCAACAAAATATTGTCATACATCAAGTTCCCTATATGGTAGACACTAAAGCCCTAGTTCATTTGCTTTATCCATTACTAGGACTCCTAACTGCAATCATTTTTATGAGCCTGCTACCCTGACTACTTACCAGACTTAAGCCACTCAGTCCTAATTTCATCACCCATTTTAGTCAGCATCTTTTCATCAAACATGTTAAGTCACATGACCTCTCCATCATCACTTCTCCAAGTCTTCATTTGAATGTGCCCTACAGCTCGTTTTTCTAATAAGCTCTCCCTCACAAGCTCACCCTGATTCTACTGCCCTTTCCTGCCCCCTTGAGCTTCACACATCTCCCAAAACCTTTTATATGTGTGTCAAACACTCTGAAGACAACGAGCTAGCTTAACACTCCCATTTTGGTAGTTATTTGTATATTGCTCTACAGTTTATAACCTAATTTTACATTTCATCTCTATAATTCTCAAAGGTAAGTCTTGGTGTGCTCATTTTATGAGTGAAAAAATTGAGGCTCGAGAACTACTTTCTCTATCCTGAAGATGAGTTATCACTTGAATTTAGGTCGTTTGACTCTGAACTTTATGCTTTTACTAACCATACTTCCAAGTCAACTGTTCACCGAAGTCCAGTCAGTTATTTCTAAAGGCCTACTGCACTGACTCTCAAACCTGTCTGTGCTTTAAACTCCTTGGTAGCTTAGGGAAAATTGTTATCAAGTCTTAACCCAGCCAGGGCTTAAGGGTGGAAAAGATGCTGGTCAAAGGGTACAGACCTCTAGTTGCAGGAGGTTCTAACTTTTCACAAATGTACACCACGGTGAGTAGTTAATACTGTATTGTATACTTGGAAGTTGCTATGAGATTTTAAATGTTCTCACTGTAACAAAAATGGTAATTACGTGATGTGAAGGATGTGTTAACCTTACAGTGGTAAATACTTTCACCTTGTACAACTTAAGTGTTATATGTCAGTTTTAGTCAATAAAGCTGGGAAAAGAGCCTCACCAGACACTGGGGTGGGATCAGGGTACTATTTTGTAGTTATGTTGGTTCAAGTTACTTAATCCATAACTTATGCCATACATTATTACATCAAGTGTAAATTTCTCATCTTAGCTCAACACAATCAGGTTCTTTCTTGCCATTTATCTCTACTTTATTAACCCCTTCTTTATTCAGGCTTTATTTCACTTCTGCATAGTTTTCCTAAAGTCACTTCTTTGAGTAATGGCAATTAAGAGACCTAGATTCTAATCCAAGCTCTGTGATTTTGGGAAGATACTTTTAAACACTCCCTTATCTGTAAAATAAACATATTCACTTAGAAGCTGGAATTTCCTTCTAGTTTGAAAATTGGATTGTTAAACTCTAGGACCTAGTTGTACCACAAACTTTTGCATTGTTACTACTTTATAAACATTTTATTGGCTAAACTGACTAACAAACTTGAGAAAGCTTTGTATATACAAACAAGATTATACAAGAATATGAAGGCCTTGGGAAATAGCATGTTGTAGTGATACTTAAATTCAAGTATCTCAGAAAAGCTGTGAGGTCAATGGTCACAGCTCTCTCTGAACCTACTGTGTGTTCCTTACAAGTCTCTCCTGAATATCATCAAATGGGAATATTTTAAAAAACCTGTGTACTTGTAAACAAAAAAAGCACTATACAAATATAAGGTGTTATATATTGTTTCTAAAGGCTGATAAAATATCATCAAAGAAAAGTGCTTCCATAAAAGTTTTATTTATCCCCACAACAACCCTGTGAGGTAGGGTGATCAGGGCATTTGAAGATGAGAAAACTAACTCTAGATTACTTGTTCACTGCTATACTGCATAGTAAATATGTAGAAATTAAATTGAGATTTTTAAATGTCCATGACTTTATACTGATTCATGTGGAATAAATGCAGAGAGAATATTAATTCCCCCCTACCTTAATGCCAAAAGGACATTGCCTTGAAAAATCTCATTTCAAAAGATGAAAGTAGTATTTCATTGCTTACTCTATGAAGATTTATAAAATAAAAAAATAGTGGAATATTTTACAGTTAGTATATATAATGGTCTCATTCAGGGATGTCCTTCAGCTATGTATATGATCAACTATTCCAATTGCTAGAAATGCAAACTCTTAAAAAATATGAAAGACAAGAATGATAATGAGCAGTAGCCTCAATCTTCATCATTCCTCTATGTATCTTGAATAAGTTCTGTCAAATCTGGTCCCAGTTTAGAAAAAGAAAACTCTACCACAAAGAGATGTCTGGTAAACTTTTATTTTGTTGCCTACTCTCAAGCCACTGTCACATTATTTAAAACAGTGGTTTCCCAAACCTTGCTATTAGAATTACTTGGAGAACTTTTAAAATACAACACAGAACTCTTAGGGTCACTCTCGATCCAGTGGGACATTTCTGCAGGGGCTAGGCCTCAGAAATCTTTATTTCAAAAGACCCTCAGAGTAATTCTAATAAGCAGGTTTGAGAACCACAGATGTATTTTATAATATTAACTAATATCAAAACAATCATTAAGTAACTAAGTAGAAAGTTGTTGCTATCTTATCCCCTTTAAAAAATGTTCTCAAAATGCATTCATTATATCCTCCAGAACTCTTGCCTTTGGGCAAGCAATTTCAATTCAAGATACAGAGAAACATTTTATAAAAATGTATCCTAATGAGTGAGACTTGGATTCCAATAATAATTTAAGTGGCATTTAAATATAAGATACTGAGTTTTATGGTTATTTTGAAAACTTCAAATGTATTTTATACAGGTTCCTAGCAGGCTTTCAACTCAGGGGAAGACATGAAAAATAATGACATCATCAAGCACATCAGCACTGAGAAAATACTCAGTATAGTTCATGAGGAACAAAGTGAGTGAATGACAGCCTAAGGCCTTTTGGCCCATACATTTCTGTTCCCAGTCCACTCTTCCCCTATAAGGGGAAATAAAATAAACATTCTTTCCTAGTTGCTTGGCATAGTTATTAGGTGGGTAACATTTAACTAAGTTAATTTAGATACAAATGATGAAAAGAGGTAACAAATAAATACCTAGGAAGACAAAGAGAAGTCAGGTCAGAAAACCTTAACTAGCTAATGATGTGTATATAATACCATCATGTTAGTACATTTAATGAAGGCTTCAGTGTCCTTTACATTTCAGCTTTATGTGATTGACACAAGATGTGGAGGAGACCTTCCTTATGAAGAATTCTGTGCTCGCTGTAAAGATCTGTAGGAATAATGAAATGCTGTCTTCACTGATGAGATGAAATCTCTCTTTTTTTTCAGGCAAGTCGACTGTACAAAACAATGAAAAAAATGAACTTCTTTAGAAGGCTGAATGCAATTAATAACTAGCTGAGAAAGTCACTGGCCAAAGACAACTTAAAAAAAAAACATTGTTTAACCCTAAAAAACAAGAAACAAACAAGAAAAAGCAGAGAAATATAAAAAAACAATGTACACATCCATTTTCACTGACAGTTACAAGAAAATAGCCATTTATAGAAGTTACAATGTTTTCAACAAATCTCCCCCAAAATTTGGGAAACATGTTAAAGCCATCAGGTAAATAAATACACATACTAGCTAATATAAAACAATTTATGGTTTCAAATTGGTACTTATTTTTTAAGACCCAAGGAGAAATATGGTGATATAAATCTGATCAGGGCTACATATATTACATGGAATTAAAAAACACAACTGATTAAAACATCCTGACGATACACATATTTAAAACAATGTCTTAAAAGTCAGACATTTATCACTGGAAATACCACAATTACAGTATGTACTGCAGAGCTGTAATGTATATATAGGTAGGTCACTTTTGCTGCATCTTATCAGGTATCCATCCCCTGTACTTACTAGTGTCTTTAAGAGTTCGTATTTTGTGGGTGAACTGAAGGGACTGGGCACATCTCAATAAAATTACACCTCCGCTTAACTAGATGGAAGTGTTTAAGGTAACGTCTACCAACAGATAAAAGCAAGGGGTAATGAGAAGATAAAGCATCATATTAAGGTGGGAGGAAGCTGGATAATTGTCATTTTTGAAAATTTTAAATTATGTATTAACAAACAAAATGACTCAAATCAAGTAATGAAAAATTTATGAAAACTGGTCTAAAATTTTCTCAGGCCATATAAAATTCCCCTTAGTTTATTTACAGAACCTTATTATGCTTAATTGCCTACTTGTCAGTTGACTTAAAGGAACTCTCCTAGCACAGGACTGAAAACAGCTTTACCATTAATAACATACAGTTATAGTTGGTGTTTACTTAAAGTGCCCAATAGGCACATTGGTATAGGTGCTTACATTTCCCTTCAGTTATGGGAAAGCCCTTTGAGACTGTATTTAATCAGAAGAGCTTTCAGCAATTATCATGTACACTGGAAATTTAGATCTTGTATAGGTTTTGAGTTTTGCTATTTGAGCATAAAAAGGGAGCATGGAGAAATATGAACTAGGTTCACAATTTTGAGAAGAGGATATGTAAAGGTAACGTATGTACATTTTATTTCAAGAAAGACAGAAGACAAACAGCATAAAGATGCCCAGATGCCCTAAAGATAAATACATTTCAAAGATTCTCATTAAAATGAATCTGTAGTACTTTTTCCTGCAAGCAAAATACCTTTCTTTAAATTAAAATGAAAACAAAACCAAAAGAAAACAGTATTCTGAATTGCAAATGCTTTTGCTTTTTTTTCTTTGCAGAAAATCTGCCATGATTATTTTTTAATGAATAAGGATTTTCCACAAAACAGGCTTGCTCTACATGCTAGGTTTTTAAACAGTTCAGTGACACAATATGCTAACTACATACACAACAGATAATATAGTAAGAAAACACTCAACCTGATGAAAAGTTAAAATCTTCATTAATACACTGAAAATTGACATAACTCATGCCTTTAAAATCAAAAATACAAAAATTAAATGTTTTCTAAAAAGATTTCCTTATTTTAAGGATTCATTTGAAAATGAAGCTGCATGTAATTTGTACAGTAAGTTGTACAAGTAAACAGGTAATATACATAAAAAATTAAGTGACATACTTCTCAATTATCAGTTGTCCACCTTTAATTTCCAATACTGTACTTTCTTAACAAGCATACAAAATATCAAACTTCTCTTTAGAAAAAGTGCCGTTCTTTGACATCCTTTACACAAAAACAGTCTGAGCCTATGGCATGTTAATGCAGTAGAGGCAAAGCATATTAACTTTTACAAATTCTACCTTCCATAAAAAGCCTCCCGAAAAGGAGATTACACACCCCTATAAAAATATCAACCTCTTGTGGTAGCTGCATTAGAGAACCAAGGCTTGAAGACTATTTTCATATAGCATAGAAAACCACTATGAGGGCACATTAACTGCACTGGTGGCTTGGGAGTTTACTGTGCCACAGGATTATGCATAGCTACTGAAAGGTACCAAGACTGTTACACAGTTTTAAGTTGATTGTAACCGAGAGCATAACAGAGGTACTACCAGCCCATGCAGAATAACTAAAAATACTGAGTCACTGTGCTGAATACTTCATTCCTGGAGAAAACCAAAGGCATCAGTAACCAAATCAAGCCCAACAGGTGACCAAACTCATTCTCCTCAAAGATTGGTGAGCACAGTGAAATCTGAGGTATACCTTTATCTATTAAATCTGTGTGCCATTGCAAGATATTACCATTTGGAAACACATGCCATCACAATGGTTTAAATCTTTTGAATATTAGTCATTCATATATTCTTGTCTACCCAGTCTCTTGATTTTTTAAAAGATTTCACCTACAGTAGAATATTACATAAACAAAATATAAATGCATGTCTTTCTAAATGAAACTTACATGGACTAAAAGTAGAGAATATATTTAAACAAATATACAATATGCAGGCAGACAAAGCAGGAAAACGGCCATTCAAATGTATAATAAAAAACTAAAAATTGACTATTTCCAGAAAACTATGAAGCGCCTCAACTAAAAGGAATGCATAATGAAATTCTAATCTAATACAGGTCAAAAAATGTAAAAAGGTTATAAACCTTAACAGGAAAAATAAAACAACTTTTACTGGCCATTCCTGTTGAAATGAGAATCTTAAAGTAACAGAAAAGTGGCTACAAACCCACTTAGAGCACCAAACAGAGAGAAAATAAAAGTCCATTTTCATCTCTGTTATTATCATAAAATCCTGTGTGACTACAGGTCAAACTGCTGGTGGCAGAAACAGAATTCTTTATAAACTGCAGATGTCCTGTACATAAAAAAATTTCACTGGAGTTGCACTAGTTCTAAAGACTCTTCTGTTTTAGCCTACCTACTGTATGTATTCAATCTGAGATATAGTCTCTTTCTGTAACCCTTGATTATTATTGGGCACCAAAGATAAGAAAAGCAAGACGGGGTACAAAAATGCAAAATTTCAACAGTAATGGCAATGTTTTTGTTTTAGTCCAAAAGGGTCCTGCATTCTCTCCCCCTTCAGTGATCTGACAAGTCTTTGTACTTAATCTGGGGGCAGCAAATCATGCAAGCGAAATCTGTCTCTGATGTGAGGTCGAACATCTTCGTTCTGTGTGGAGAAAAAGACATTAAAACCAATATAATTGCAAAGAGATGATTTCTCATAAATTATGAACACTCTTATTTTGCAGAAAAAACATACCACTATTTATTTTACAACTTAGATTATTCTGTTTGTCAAATACAAAGATACTGCACAGAAAGTTAACTTAGAATAAAATTTAGATTAAAGAAACCTAGACGTTACAGATGGCCAAACAGACACTAACATGAGAAGATGCTCAACATCACTAATCAGGTGAAATTAATCAAAACCACAATCATGTATCACCTCACACACACCAGTCAGAAGCACTAATATCAGCACAAGAAATAACATGTATTGGCAAGGATATGGAGAAAAGGGAACCCTCCTACACTGCGGTGGAATTACAAATTGCAGCCATTTTGAAAAGCAATATGGAGGTTTCCAAAAAAAGTAAAACTAGAAATACCATATGATCCAGCATTTCCTCTTTTAGGAATTTACCCAAATAGAGCAAAATCACTAATTAGAAAAGATACATGCACTCCTATGTTTGTCACATTACTTACAATAGCCAAAATACGGAAGCAACCTAAGTGTCAATAAATAGATGAATGGATAAAGAAGATGTGGTACATATACACAATAGGGTATTATTCAGCCATAAAAAGAAAAGAAATCCTGCCATTTGCAACAACATGGATGGATCTAGAGGGTATTATGCTCAGTGAAATAAGCCAGAAAGACAGAGAAAGACAAATACCATATGATTTCACTTGTGCAATACAGAAACAAAGCAAAACAGAAGGAACAAAACAGCAGTAGACTCACAGACACTGAGAAGTGACTAATGGTTACCAAGGGGGAGGTCGATAAAGGATCACAATAAATTGCAATGACAATACAAGTTGGTAACGGGGATGATAGTATAGGACGGAGAACACAAGTTAATGATTCTGTAACATCTTTCTACGTTGACAGTAACTGCATTAGAGGAGGTGAGGATTTAATATTGATTGGGTAACTACTGAACCACTGTGTTGTACATCTGAAACCAATCTAAGATTGTATATCAATGATACTTCAAAAAAAAAGATGTGGTACATATACGCAATGGAATATTATTCAGCCATTAAAAAAAGAAATCCTGCCATTTGCAACAACACAGATGGACTAGAGGGTATTATGCTCAGTGAGGTAAGTCAGACATGGGAAAGACAAATACCATATGATTTCACTATATGTGGAATCTAAAAAACAAAAACAAAACATAAATGAACTCATAAACACAAAAAACAGATGTGGTTGCCATAGGGCAATGGGTAGGAAGGGAGAAAAAAAAAGCAAGAATGTTTGATATTTTGATCTGAGTGATGGTTACATAAGTGTATGCACAAGTCAAAATTCACCACGCTGTACACTACAATCTGTGCATTTTATTGTATGAACCTCAATATAAAAAATGTAAAAACCAAAACTGTCATTAAAGTTTTAATTTTGTAAGAACAATTATGCCATAAGGCCAAACTAAAAGAGAGGTGAAAGTATTAAGCCACTGAATTCTACTTTGTTAGTTTTAAAATTAATCCATGGATACAGGGGAAAAAAACAAAATCCCAGAATAAAGTTTCAGCAGCATAAGCATGAATTCTACACCTGAACTATGAAAACGAAATGAAACAAATTTAACACCACTAGTTAGTGAGTTGCAAGGTAAAGCTCAGTGAAATAAAAACATTCAATTCACAAGTTTTTAAATCTGATAAGCATAATTTTAATTTACAAGGTTAGAAAATGCTTATAATCCTTTTCAACCTTTGCTTGATCTCCCACCACGCTGACTTTAAAAAAATCAGCACATATATAGCAATTAAAAAGATTTATTTCAATAGAGTTGAGGCAACAAAAACAGAAAAAGATAAATTATAAGATACACTTACCAGTTCTACAAGCTTCTCCAGAAATGGAATCAATTTTAGGAGTTCATTGTCATTTTTATCCATAAACCAGCTTTCTATAGGGATTCCATTAGACAGCTAAAATGATAAATAAATAATTAAATTATTTTTATTTAAATTTTGCCTACTTTGGAAAAGCTTAAAAAAGAAATAAGAGATTTAAGTAAACACTGATCTGTAAGTTCCTTTGAAAAAGGAAAGCCATTGGTTTATGCTTGTCATGTTCTTTGACAAGTCAGTAGTGCAAGAGACAGATGTCACAGAATAAAAAGAAGCCTAACTGGTTTTTCAGTGTAATTTCTCAGTGTACATCAAACTAAACTTGAAAGATCCATTAACAAACTTTGTATTAATGTAACTAAAAACATTCTTTATTGATTCAGGAAATAGTTACTATTAGTCAATGCTAAGCATTGTGAATGAAGGAGCACTGCTGATGTAAACAGAGACCACTATCAAAAAGCACACAGTATACTTTTATACAAGACCATGTCCCTTTCATTGTTTTACTCCCAAAAAGTAGCAGGATAACCTGAAACACAGTAGGAACATAACAAACTGACACAATGGTATTTCACTGAAGAGTCTAAATACAATAATGAAAAATATTTGTTTTCTGGTAAGAAATTTCTAGGGCAAAATATCTTTAATATTTATGTAAAACATTGTGTTCGAGATAGAGAAAAACTGATTTTATCTAGGAACCAAGATGATATTCTTAAAAACTTATTTCAAAATGCAGGCAAATAATAGTGATGTAAGTTGAACATGTTTAAATACCATACATGGTCTTTCCCTTTTTTCTTTTTTACTTTTTACTATGGACACTTGAAACAGAGGTTAAGGGCAAATCTTGTTTCATCTCTTTCTACCATCCCATTCAGCACTGATTTATTATAAAAGAAATCTCAGATGCATATTAACATATTCATAACATAAACTATATCTTGCAAGGATGGCTTATCTCTAGTTGAAGTTATATTTCAAAAAATCATTAATAGAGGGTACAAATATATGGACAAAATTACCTTAAGAAAGTATTTCAGAATATCATATCAAATAGATCAGAAGCACATAGTTAAGCTATTGTAATTCTCAAACATGTTCACAATTATTATTACTATTCAACAAGTGGTAAGAACGGTATTAAATCATGCATATCTTGGAGCCCCTTCTTATTTAGATTTACTACTCAGATTTTCTGTTTTACTTCATTTAAACAATATTTTTCCACAAGGAATACAGCAATTTGGCATTTCTAATTCTAAAAGTTGACATTAAATGGAAATTTTACCAGTGAAAATTTTTCTCACACTATGTTCTGTTTGGCAGCATTTGTCCTCATTTTACTTTATTTTTTTTCAAACTGAGTTTGTTTAGCAACTCTCTTCCTACCTGATATGCAAAGGCTTGTGGTGAGTTGTCAATTATTATAGTTTTGGAAAGATCTCTTCCAAGGATATTTAAGTCCTTTATATAGTTTCCTTGTACACAAACACAATGTTCCCGGAAAAGTCGGTGCCTAAACATAAAAATAAAATCAAGTTAACTAAAAAAATGATAAAAATAAAAATAAGTAAAAGGTCTAAAAAGTACAACATATACTTAAACATATACACATACACATACCCGTATACCCATAGAGGCTTTACAAGTTAAGCCTTATTATCTTCTCTCTCAAAGGAAATTCAAATACAATGAGGGCCTAAACTTTGGGCTATAGTTTCACTATGAAAATTCTTAGCAATTATTGAAACCTTACAACCAAATATTACTATGCCTTAAAAGAACTTCGGTTTATCCCAAAATGTTATATTAAATTATAAAGAGGGATTGAAAACTCTGTAAATTGTTTTTGTAATTTATTTACCCAGGAAAGCTCAGTTCAGATGCAGCATCTGGTTGTCAGCGAGGTCCTGCTTTTTAACCAATTTTCCAGATGGTTGACTGAGGCACAAGGAGGTCAAGTGACTTGCCCAAGGTCACACAGTAAGTCAGTGGTTAGCCCCGCATTGGAACCCAGGATCCTCCTGGCTCCCAGTCCTTTGCTCTAACCAGAAGACCACACAGCCTCCCTATCCCTGTACATGCCAGAATAGAAAATATAAGAAGGAATGTTTCCGTGTTGGCATTAAAAAAGAATGTTTTTAGTTTCCCTTAATAGTTTTTGAGAAAAGGCGTGGAGGCCAAAACATTCCATCATTTCAACTTTTCCCAAACACCCATCTTTCTTTTAATTTGGTGTCAGTGTGTGTATGATCATTTGAAAAGCAAGGACTGAATGAAGTGATAAATTCAGATTTAAGTATTACAAATGTAAACTCATATTTCACCAATAATACTTAATTGAAAAGTGTTATATCATTTTAAAAAGCTATTAAAGGTTTTATAATACTTATAAACTGTAATTCTATAAAATCTCCACTTAACTCTCAAAATATTGTACTAGTCCCTGAATATTACTATTAACTGATAGAGATCACCTTGAAATACTCCATTTGCATATATTAATAATTTGGTAGTTTGGCTTCCTTGTGTCTTAACCCCACTAAACAATTTTCCAGGAGCTATGGCCTACTCATATCTCAATTTTTAATTATGCAATTTCAAGAAAGGCATTTTTCTACCAACAAAATCTGTTATAGCTCTAACAACAAAAAAAAAACTCAAAACCTTAAAAATGTCAGAGTTGATGGTGACGGCAAAGAGGAGGAATTTTACAACCAGAGAAAATGCAGTATACACAGTTCTTTCTCTCCTTACTATAAACAATACTGTTAATTAATCAAATGATCATCTACCTGTAAAGGTTTAAAGATGGTCCTACTTTGAAAAAATTTAGACCAGACTAAGTATTTAAGTCCTATTGGGACCTAAGTAGGATTCCCTATTTAATTTGTATAAATATTTAGGTGAGGAAATTGGAGAAGCAAATACATCATCTACATGCAAGTCACTACTGATAGCTCTTCCCACAGCAAATTTGCCTGAGACAACTGAAAACATATGTGGATGCTAACAATTAAATTCTACCCAAACCCTACAGTTACTCAGAAACCTGAGTATCTGCAGCTTCAGAAAGAAACTACTTTAGCCAGTCATCAAATTTCCATTTGGACTCATGGGATTCAGAGATCATAGAAATTTCTAAGTCTGCCTTGTCACTAACTTCCTAGGGCACTCTAATGAATTCTATATACTGTTCAAAAGTTTTTCCTGTTTTTAAGTTTTTCAAAATACGAGATAAAATAAATTTAAACTCCCGAATGTGCAGATTTTACAAAAACTAGTTTAAAACATGGGTGTTAATTTATAACATTGTAATTCCATGACTATGATTTGTCCCCCAGTAAAATGAAAGCTCCAATTGGAAGCTTGTGTTGCTCATCATTGTTCCCTAGAACATTGGAGGTGATGATAGAAATCTTCAGAATGAATGAAGTCATCTAAGCAAAACTATTTGTATACTTTTATAAAGTTAGGTAAAATGAGCATAAATTATATTTTTATGAATGGGAAATGTCATTTTCATTTGTGGGTCTGAAGCTTGCTTATATGGAAGAAAAAGTGGAAACTGACTACAAAGACAATTTTTATCCTTTAGATTAAAAAAAAAAAACACAGTTCTGTTTATAAAGAAATCTCCTAAACGGGGACATTAGGAAAAGTCTTACAGCATAGTTGCAACCACTTGATAATAAAAGTACTATTAACAGAAATTAAGTTGAGGATTTTCCACTAAGAATGTGGGGATAAAGTATTCAAGAAAATGAATACCCAGATATTAAAGTGTTTATAAACTTTTTATGGCACCTCTCTCAGCTCTTGGTCAAAAACTCAGAGATTCACTTCCAACCTAAGAGGATGCAGCAGTATCTCACTTTAGTTGAAGGAAATAATGGAGCTAATTTTCAAATATATTAAAATCACCCAAGGCACTCCCACCTAACCAGGAACACACTGCATCTGTTAGCTAAGAAGACACACAAGAAACTAAGTCCAGATCAGGATAACCTGAATGACTAAACCAAATGCAATTTCCAATTAGATTCATGTAACATTTTCTTTCCATGGAAGAGAAATTTGCTCTTGAAATAAGCAAAATAATTTATTTTGATCCTTTCTGGTAAAATCAACTTTTATTTATGCCATTGAAAAGGTGACATAACATGCATTATCTCAGAGACATAATAAGGAAGTGAAAACATGCACACAGCGAAAACTTCCACATAATCCCCAATCTCCCCCCAATCTCAAAATAAGTGAGGATACAGATGTAACAGTGAATGCATTTGATCTTTGTATCCTTTAAAGAACGTCTGTCTGGAGTTTTATCATTAGAAACTCCTAAAGAGTTTGGGGGCTTAAAAAATTTATATTCACCATTTAACAACAAATCTCTAAATATGCAGCCGACTGAAAATGGCCATCAAAATTAAATAGAATCATAGTAATTTCATAATCAGTGTGACAGACATTTCCACTATTTCTTAATTAAATTTACCTGACCAGTTGCTTTTTAGGGTCTAGTATGTTCAGTAACTTGTCTGCATACACCTTCTTAGAAGCAGTAAAAAGAATGATCTACAAATTCAGGGGAAAAGAAGTAATCATTATACATGATCTAAATATGGGTACTGTATTGAATAAAATAAAAATACTTATGTAGTTAACTTAAGCATGTTTACCTCATACATCTGAGACATCCGTTCCAGGAATTCCCTGAAGAACGGTCTTAATCTCACGTAAACCTGAAGAAATACAAAAATAGACTTCAGCAAATAAACATCTAAAACAGAACAACTTCTTTATAAGATATGTTTTATTCTAACTTTGGATATATTATAAGTAAAAAGTTGTATTTTAAAGTAATAGAAAAATTTACAAAGTACAACTCTACCAAATTTACTTCACATACCAAAAACCACTTAAAACAATCTTTTGGTAGGGTAATAATAATCACTGGTGATCAACTTCACTTTTTAATGGTTAAATAGCAGCATACAATATAATAGTGCTTCATGGAGTATAATTTTATTAGACATTTAAACTAAAAATGGAAGGTTTCCCAGTGAGATTTTGATCCACCAATCAGCTCCATCTTCCAGCCAGGTAGCATCCATCCAATTATTAGGCAGGCTGTGTGTCCACCTCTAGCTGACCTGTCCCAATGACCTTCTTCAATAATTACTCAGAATTTTTTCTCTGCAACCACCTGCTAAGAATACCTTTACTTTACACTTCTGTTAAGATAAATAATGTTCAAGAAAGAGACGTCTGGATTGGTGGGTTTAAATAACTGGAATTTTTCAGAAATTAATCTTGTTCTACATTTACTGATTCAGAAGTGGCATCTAAATTAGCACTATCAAGCTATCTCAGATTGAAAATAAAATAGTCAAATCAGTTATCAAAATGTATTGGTAATATCAGAAAGGACTACAGCACCTAAAGAACTGCCTTATGCACATTATTTTCTTATTTCTGCCTGTTCTTTTGCCTATACTTAGTGTATCTCTTCTAATATACTCCAGTATTCAAAAGCACAGGAATATAAGCCATGAGCAACTACTAAAACTGATCTACAAAAGATTTTTGACTCCTTTAAATTGTATTCATTTTGTGACAAAATTTTATAAAAGAAAAGTTTGTACTCTGCTCAAACATGACTATTAACCTCAAATACTATGAACAAATATTTATAGAACACATGTGCACCAGATTCAGTGGCTTCATATTTAAAAAACAAAGAACTGGTGACAACAAATTTAAAATCTAGGCTTCATGAAGTTTAATTCTGTCATCAACATACATCCACACAAAAATGCCCTCAAGATAAAAATCTAGTTCTGTAAATGTCTTAGGGCAGAACAGGAAAATTATGCAAAGAATTCTAGGTAGGTAGGTAGATTCTACCAACTTTGTAACATCCAAAGCCCAAAAGGTATAAGATAATATCAAATATATAGGAAGTACTTGATAAAAATCTGTTGAACAAGTGAAAGACTGCCTGAAATTAAGGACTAGAGATAAAAAGAGAGGCAAGCCTACATGACTACACAATGACAACTACTGAATTTCCTTAAAAACTGGTCACTTGTGTTTTATTCTTCCTTCTCAGGATTGCTTTGGCTATTATTCCTACTCCAGGTTAGAATGATAAATGTCTTTAATCCTAGTGGGCATTTTATCTTGGCTAATCAAAAATGAAGTAAGCCTCTACCCCTAGCAAATAAAAATAAGCAAATCCTCAGTATCCAATCACTATCCTTTAGGATGGAGGCACAAAAAATTTCAAGTTTCTCATTCTAGTTAATTTTAACATTTTCATCCTGAAACACCTGGTATATTTTATGGCCTTGGCTGAAAATGACACAGACATTATTTTTTTGGTAATCCAAGAAACACATTTTAGATATATTATGACCTTCACTGGCAAAACCACTTTTAATTAACTATGGTCTTTTAAAAATAGATTTGTGATGGTTTAAGAAAAAATCCTCTATTCTGTCAAATCTTTTTTTTTCCCGATTACCTCATCTCAAGGAGGGTGATAAACTATGAATCATAAGACCCTTTTGCTTGCTGCTAAGAAAATCGATCACTTACATGCATTTAATAACCATTTCATTTTGTATTTTATAAATGTTTTCAATATCCCCTGTTATCACTTGCAACATAAGTAGTGTCTCTGTAATGCAGGATTGTTTCCTCTGAAAACTAACACACGAATATAGAAAGGTAAAAAGTTACAGTGAGCAGTTTTGGGATTGGGACAACATGGGGTTCTGCCATGTGCTGCAAAGGCAAAATCTCAGAAAGAAAAACAAATAGAAATCTCAGCACGAAAAATAAGGACAGAAGGATCTAAGTCATTTGGAAGGATACTTTAAATCAGAAGTTTATGGAAGTCAAGAAGCACTAAGTATTGTCCAATAGGAAACAAACAAACAACAACTGTAAGGTGTGTATGAGTCAAAGAGATTACAATCTTTATTGTGTTAGGTCACAGAAATACACAAATATACAGATGCACACATAGGCATGAGCCTCCAAATGCTTCAAACTCTATTCCAGAGGCTCTTAACTCCACTTTCCTTCTGACTTTCTCATAACAAAGATTCCTGCCCTCAGCTGTCTACTTCCTATTTTCTACATTCTTTCTATACTTGTTATTTCACCAACCACCTTCTTCAAAACAATGTAGTTGCCCAAATATAAGATTAGGCCAAAAGATTCATTTCACTCTGGTATACAGATGTTCCTCCAAATATACAGCAATTATTCTATCTACACTACACATTATTACTAAACCAAATATATTCTGAAAAATGAAGTTTAAAAATAATCTATAATGCTATAGTAAGAAATAACTACATATAAAAATACCATACCCAAAGACATGTCTTAAATAAAATTATTACCCAAAGATAGGGATTTATGAATATCTTCATTATGCAAAAATTTAAAATAAATGTACTACTGCAAAATAGTGATAATGGAACTAACCTTTTAAAATCTATTGTGGCCTAATTTTACCAAAATTAATATTTTACATAGAAGAACAATGTATATATAACAGAAAAATAACATTACATTGGGCAGTACATTAACACTACTTGATATAAACAATACCTGACCATCAGCCTATACTTTGTTTGGTATTTAGACAATAAGAATGTACTATAATTGTGTAATCCTAATAGGCCATAAATGGGTAAAAGAACTAGATTTAATAATAGCAATCCAGTTACAAGCAGCTTTAAATATTTTCTGATATAGTCTGTCTGAACTCAAATTCACATCCAAGTATGCAATGTCAAGTTATATATACTGAGTAAAAGTTTACCAAACCTTTATCTAATATGGATAATTATAACAACATGACCCCTAAAATAAAAATAAAAAAAATTTTAAAGAAGGAAAGAAAACACCCAAAGCAGTTTCAATTTGTGGGCAAGTGATAAGAATAAAAAAATTCTTACATGTGTATCTTTTTAGGAAAAATATGTCTAGATTGTTTTAAACACAGATAATATGACCCTAACATATTTTTAAAAATCCTTAATAAATAAATTTGAAAAGGAATTTTCTTATAGAGTCCAAGTGGGATAAAGTGAAGCTTTATTTATTCATATACTGTTCAAAGTTAGCAATGAAGAGTAATTTTCAAGTAAAAATTGGCCACCAATTTTGTATTTAAATGTGTATACACATTATATGTAAACTATTGATATGTTTATATTAAAATAATCATTTTAAAAGCAAAAAAGGGGCCATTTTAGTAAAATAAAAATACTGCTTTTAAAAATGAATTGTAAACTTTCAAGCCTCCAATTTAATATGCTTAATAATCAAACTGTCATTCTCCTAAATTTGCAGAACACTTTCAACTGTTGACCAAGAACTTTCCACGTATTTTTTTAATGAACTACTCCTAATTTTAAGATGCATTTAGAAGGAACACAAAAAATTCCCCATGAAACACATTTTCTTATCTTTGAGAAGTAGTTAACTATAGGTTTCAGCTATATCTTTCTTTTACCTAAAAATAACAGATACTTACGATGAAAAAGTAGTACCAATGACTATACTTACTAATGATGGGAAAGTTACTTTTAAAATTACTTTTAGCATTTACCTATAGTTATCAAAATACTGTTCCCTACCAGCTACAATATTACTTTTACCCTTAATACTTAGGTGTCTACAATCCCAAATGTTTTACTTAAAGCACAAATATACATATTACTTTTGTAAAACAAAATTATGTTTTATTAAGGTCAAAAAATGCCTCTTGGTTAGTATCAATTTAAGTTGGAGCTTGAGAGAAGGAAAAACGATTAGATGTTTACTACAAAATCCTTCACTTGATTTTTTTTCTTCAAGAAGCAAAAATAACACTGACTTTTCTAGAAAAGACTGTAGAAAGGAGATAGAACCACTGACCCTCTATTTCTCTTGTTCTGTGATATAAAATATTCTGACAATTATCCTAGCTGTTAGTTCTCAAGAAAACAAACAACTATAATAAGGGAAAGAGGCTGAGCTTTACTAAACACAGGGTTTCCCGCCCACTCTCCCCCCAACTTTTCCCACAAAAGCAACCTTTACTAATAAAACAAAGCATCCTTTAGAAAGTAGTTCCCTACGGGATCCTATCTCTCCTTGAGTGCTTACCCCAATCTGATTTCTGGACAGCTGACCCAAAGTTTGTTGATTTTACTGATCTTCAGAAAGCCACTGACTGGCTAAAGTCTTATTGGTGAAGAGAGTCAAAAATCAGATGCCCCTGCAATACTTTACAGAATGAGGAGTTGGACAACACAGTTACGTTTGGCTGCACTGTGGTGAAACATATGAGGCATCTTCTTTTTGTCTTCAATTAGCCACGTTTGGGCTGAGTAGTTCTATTACATCTTCAAAAACTGAGCTCCAGTTCTTGATGGAGATAGAGGAAGGTCATTGAGGAGGTGGTTCAGCTCAAGATCTAAGTGAAAAATCTGTCTTTTGATTCAGTCCTGCTTGTGGATAGAAGTCATCTTCTGGATGGAAGAGGGAGTGAGATGACCTAGGGTCTTGAATTGGTGGATCTGCAGGAACAGAAACTAAATACAGTGGAGACCTCTTAACTGAGTAACACCACGAGATGGATTTCCTGACAATGTGTCAATATAAGCTAAATACAAAGATAAAACATGTGCACTGGAACTGATCATGCATTTGTTTTTCCAGATATCAAATGCACCTGCACCATTCTATGAATATATTTGTCTTCCCAATAACTAATTATAAAACAATTTCTGGAAAAGCTACCAATATTAGGGGAGAAAAAGACCCATTCAAACAAAAATCTATACACTTTGCTTGTGAGTGCCATACCCTCACTTTAAAAACTTAGTTTTTCCTTCAAATGACTTTTTCTCCACATACACAAACTATCCATACAGTGTCAGTAGTAACAAATATCAAATTTTGAGTTGGATCTATCAGGCTTTTTTATCTCCTAGAAAAATGGAATTCAAATACATGTAAGTTACTAAATTGAGACTTGAATAATCTACCTGCTCATAAATTCTAAGACTTGCATTAACTAAACTAAGTACTACTTATCAAAGAAGAGTATATACCATGAAGTGAGGTAATCTTTAAATGTGAGTAGTTGCAGAAAGCCCACAACCAGATTATAGTGGATCTAGCTTTAAATTTCTCTACATATGAACAAGAATTTTGATGAATATTTGATTACTTGCTTCCACTTATAATTTGAGTATGTAAATTTACTGTATATACTCTCATAGTTATTACCAAGGGTCAGCAAACCATCTGGATTACCAGTGGGTCAAATCCAAACCATTACTGATTTTTGTAAATTAAGTTTTGTAAATAAAGTTTTACAGCCACACTTATTCAATTATGTGCTGGCTATGGCTATTTTCAAGCTACAATGGCAGAAAAGTAGTTGCAACAGAGACTGCAAACCCAAAAATGGTAACGTTTAGCCCTTTATAGGAAAAAGTTTGCCAGCCCGATATAGATGATTACTAAAACATATGTAGAACAACTTACAATTTAAATTGCTTTGAAAGGAAGAGAAATAACAAATACAATTAAAATTAGATAGAAGTCGACCATAACAAACTTACCACGAAAGAAATCAAAGTAAGTCCCAAGAGGACACTTTATCAGGCCCCGATTCAGATGAACAATTTGATCCCACCTAACATTACCATTTTATTTTTGAAAGTATATACATAAATGCTATGGAATGGACATATTCAAGAGTACATAGATAAATGCTATGGAACTGTTCAATGAAAAATGGTTAATTTTATGTTGTGAATTTCACCTCAATAAATTATTTTTTAAAGAGTATATACAGTATTTTACAGGTTTCTATCTTTAAGTGGGCCACATTATACTGTAGTGGTTAAATATGTAAGTTACATCTTACCTAATAATGTGGTTTCTCCAAAATCTCTTAGATCATCTCAGACCCTTGTGTATATTTCTTCTTTGCCAGTAGATGGAGACAACACCACTGAAAGTTTAAAAGACATCATTCCCTGTTTAAAGGGAGCTTGTTGGTCTGAAAACTGGGGGAACCCTAACCCAAGATTTCTTCAAAGTTATTTTTTAAAAAGCAGACGGGATGCTTATGCCAAAACCAGAAATCCAAAGGAATGTACCCAATATTAACTATGGACATCCTCAAAAATTTACTGAAAGGCCGCTATAAACTCGGTACATGATGTACTAACTAATCATAATATTACAACGCAATCACCTCTATAACTTGCAAGATTCAAACTTCTGCTCAGTGCTCCTGATTTAGGCTAGATCATTGTTTCTCAGTTTCAGAAAGTGTATCTCAATATATAAGGAAAAGAGTTCTTTTAATTCTAGAGAGGTAGATGCAGTACATTTACGGCTTTCATACTAGTCATATGAACTGTTGGAAGACTTTTGTTCAAAGTAAGACAGCTATCCAGATTCACATGAAAATAATAAGAACTTTATGAAGAAGAGAATTAAAGCAGAAATGGTAGAAGTGCTAAGAAAAAAGTCAATTTCATGGTCACATTGAAATGAAATGCTCATGAATCAAACTCATCTACTTTCCAAGTTTCTTATTTCACTATTTAAAATTACATAAACAAAACCATTTGCAAGAAATACACTGCAAATCTCAAAGCTTAAGAGGTCATCTCAAAATAATTATTTATTTGTATTTTTCAAGTAACAGCTTTCCTTTCCAAATCCAAAGCCTGAAAGCCAGTTTTTAAGTGTAATTTTGAACAAAAAACAAGGTTATCAAGTTAAAATGAGAGAACTAAGACACTGCTAAACTATTTATATTGGCCACAAGACTCCTGTCCTTGAAGTGACTAAACAAGAACAACCTATTTGGCAGAAAATGTCTTTTTAAGAATAATATCCAGTTAAAAAGTCATACAAGTCTTAAAAATGCCTTATTTTTAAGATATATTTTGCTCATCATCTGATGATATATCAGAACTCAAGCCAGTTTATATAAAAGGAAGTGAATATGGTATTCAGATATTACCATACGTGCAATACCTAAGTTAAACTAGAACTGACAACTACTAAAATAAATCCTTATGACTCATTACAAAATAAGTAGATCCTGAACCACAAACTCTATTTAACTCTGAAATTTTATGATTCCCAGGAGATAATAACTACCATGCGCCAAGAAAACTATATCTACATTATAACTGCCTATTAAGAGCACGTAAACAACCATTAAAACCCTTCATGATCCACATGTTAAATGTTCTGTGGCTTTACTTAGTTAATTCTTGGGTTGGCTTCCTCTTGACAACCAACTTCTTGACCCTTTCCCAATCCTACAACAGCTGGTTTGTATAAAGGGAATGCTAGTTAAATCACCACCACCACCACCACCACAAAAGGCACTTGGCAATTTTCGAAGTGTGTTCATATATATTAATTCAAATTTTATGATAGGATAATCTCAAACATAAAGAACTATGGCCAACATAAAAAAATTCATAGTGAAATTTAAATACTAGTATTTTGCACTGTTATATGCCCATCAACACAGATGAGGGAGAAATGCTTTTACCTAAAATTTTTAAGTAAAGCAAAAGCTAGAAAAGTGTACTGAAATTCTACGATTAGTATAAAGCAGATCTACCAAACCACAATCTACAGACCATATATACTACAAAAGGAAATAAAAATGACCAACAAGGAAATGAGTTTTCTTTATACTAATCAGATTTTGGAAGAAAAATAAACAAAAAACAAAAAACAAAAAACACCAGGCATAACCTGGCAATTTCTTCTTGGGAATCTGTCAGTGCTCCTGCCTCCACCTGCTGGCAAACAGATTATGAAACTAGCAGAGATCACTGGGTAAAAAAAAGTTCACATTTTTTTGGAAACAAATTAATGTTGCTTTATATAATTATTTAGCATGATGTTTGTTAATAAATCATTAACATACTGGTGAAATCCATTAGGAAAAAACACATTAAACTTCACAAAAAAATTACAAAAGATTTCTTTGTTCAGAATGTTATCTAAAGGCCAAAAATCAAGTTAAAAATTTTTTTTAATTACCTGATAAATGACATCTTGGAAAAGAACTGGAAAAGTAAGTGCTGCATCTTCTAGCTCATTTAGACTACAGTGTACTAGTGTTTCATCCTTAAAATAAAAAGCACATATTGAATGAACCAAGATATTAAATTTCAAATATATGTATTCATGATCACCAAAAACATTTATTAAAATACCATTCATACGTGGAATTTTACATTTACCATACATTACTGTGTATGGGATAGAATTCTCTAAGTCACTGGTACTCAAGTGTGTCTCTAGACCAGCAAAGCAGAATCAGCATCATCTAGGAAGTAGTTAGAATACAAATTCCCCAACTCCACTTCTGATCATTCAGAAACTGAGCAGAAAGTGAAAGGAGGAGCTCAGAAATCTATGTTTTTTTAATAAGCCCTTCAGGTGACTCCAATGCATGCTCAAATTTGAGAACCACTGCTCCAAGTTCTGCAGCTACCAGCTTTGTTAAGTAAAATACATTTTTTTTAACATTTAGCAAATGAAAGTTTAGAATCTACTTAAAAAACACATATACCTTAATAGAATTTAGAAGTATGCAAGGGATTATACTAAGTAGATAAGGGAGACCTAGAATATCAATAGAGGAGTATTTAAAGGTAAGGGTAATGAAAATTACATGATTTGTTTAAATAACAGGAGATGGTATGGCATTGTTGGGATGTAAACACTTTGCTTGTGCTTCTATTACAAGCATATCTACCTTTTCCCTTATAGGGGAGTTAACTGTTTACCACTCTCCTGCCTTTTTCAATAAATTGAGAACTCTTTAAAGGGCTGAGACTATGTTTTACTTATGCTTTATTTTCAAAGTTCCTAAACAGCACATATTCAATAACTGTTAAATAAATAAAATAAAATAAAATAAAACATATATATTCTATTCATAAAGCTCTTTATCCTTAAGTCTTTAAAAAAGAATTTTATTTTAGAAAAGATGTTTTAGTACCTGTTGAATATGTCTCATAGACATAATAAACACTGTTAACTAAAGTAGCAGTCAATGAAGATTTGTCACCTGTGCTTACCAAAACCTGTTTTCTCACTGAGGAGGATCATTCAATCTCAGATAGGTGCAACTATTTATATTTCTCAAATCCTGAATGGTTAAAAAACAGGTTTCCATTTGTAGTAAATGACACTTTCCTTTTTTTTAAGTAAAGCTATAAATAATTAACTCCAAAAGTTGTTCAATGCATTCAAGATGAATTAAAATGAAACAGAAATGTTCATACCGTGTGAGTCTACATCTTATTAGGGGTAGTGCTTCTTTTAACCTAAAGTTAAACTCTGGGGAGGCAAAGAGCAAAAAAGTACTCTAGATATGCCTCATTTACTTTTAATAGCATATCAGACTACGTATTTCGAGGTATTCTCTTAGCACCTTAAAAACAGGTACTTTCTTTTCTAAACCAGTCATAACTAATTCTAATACTTCTTCATTGACAGCCTAACTAAATTTTGATCATTCTTTATTCACTTCTATAAAACTGTTCATTTATCCCCAGCCAATTCTCATCTTTCCTTCTCCATTTATCTTCTACATTTGATTAAAAATTTTATGGCTAAACTTGCTATCATGACCACATTAACTTCTAACATAAAAATCTAGCAAAATCTTTTTCAGTATCTCCACTAACTTGCAAATCAAATCTAAACTACTCATAATCAGCTCCGGAATTTTTCTTTTCCTTTGTACTATCCTCTAATAAGTATCTTAAATACTTAGGACTTCTGGATATCTGTCTTATATCTCTCTGGGTAGGCAAGACCTCTCAAAACAGAACTATACATGCTAGTTAAAATTTAAAAATAGTATGCTTTTCCTCAAGTTAATTTTTTTGAGAACAAAACCACATCTCCAATTATAAGGTACCAGTAACAAAAGCTAAGTAATACAATGTTTTTCAATACTGTATAATAATCAGTCTTCAAAGCTCTTCTGGAACCCTAAAATATAAGTGTTTAAGTCACACCAAGAGAACATATTAAAGGTTGCATTAGTTAGCATTAAGAGATCATGCTTTTGAAAGTCTTTTTAATAAAAAGCTATTGGAATTAGATAATATGCAAAAGTAAGAACAGGGTAAGGGGTATGGTCTTGCATAAGGTTAACTCACTGATACCTAGATTATATTTGGTCCTTCAGGGAAACATGATCCTGATCAAAAGAAAAAGGTGATATCTAGGTATGAAATAAAATTAGATTTTATTGGGAGATTTTAAAAAAATCACAAAGGTTTCAGTATAGGGGGAAGATTTAATTCAATACAAAAATAAAAGCCCAATTTATTTTCAAAGGGTACCTGACACCAGCCTGAACTCAGGACACTGGCATTAGAATATGCTTAAAATAAAAACTAAGATATGTTTATAGTAAATGTATAAGGCTATTCATTCAGGTATTTTGGACTAACATTTTAAAAAAGGAACTTAACTCCTTTATTTTCTCTACCTTCACAAATAATAAACTTACCAGGTCTAAAACTAGGGAGAATTCTGGTGTGCTTCTTGTTTTCAGTGGAAGAGCAGGTTTCCTATTTAGTTGTTCTTCTGTCAGTGGTGGAACATGTTTGATGAAATAATAGCTATAAATCAAATTTTAAGAAAATTTCAACATTTCTACACTTTATAAATACAAAACATATTACTAAATTCAGCCCATCTTTACATCTTTAATTAAATAATGTGTATTTAACCTAGTAAATTAAACTTTTAAAACATGTAAATAAAACTGAAAATCTACAGATTAGTATTTCAGTAACTCAAAGTAATACCTACATGTCACATGCCCTTTACAATGTACCATTCAGCCACTCCTCCACACATGTACTTTCATTCTGTTCAAAGAGAGAAAGATATATAACAAAAACAAAACTCACGGGTCAAATACTTCCCAGTCTTCTTCGTAGGTGGCCTCTGCATGGGCTGATGAATAACCACTATCTGGAGTTACTGGTGCTATTTAACAAAGTGAAAAATAAAATGTTACTTATAGTCACTTAATGCTTCCATGAAGTAGGTATTTTAACTGCTTTTATACAAGATATTCCTGAAATCTTGTATATTTTAAAGATAAGACAAATAATCTTTAAATAGTATTTAAATGCAAATTTATTAGCACATAGATCTAACTCCAGATCTAATGGAAAAAAATTACCATTACTGACAAAATGGCCAGATAGATCATAGCTTGCAGAACTAAAATCCCTAACAGCTAACAGAAAATTGACTACTTATTACTAGATAAACACACTCCACAAAAATTCAGCTTCTAACTGGATATTGTTTATGTATATAACCATAAAAATATGGTGATTTTATAGCAGTAATACTTCACAAAGTGTCTTATACATATAGGCAGTCAATTATGTGTGCTGACAATAGACCCAAAGGTAGTTTTTTAACCTGAGACCCAAGAACAGTTGTTAAGAAGTCCATGAGTACCTTGAACACTTAGGAGAAAATGTTATGTACTTTTTTTGCAGGAATCTCAAGGCTATTCATTAAAAAGTTAAATTTTGCTCTATAAAGTACCACTGCTTTAGAAGACCCATTATTTTACTTCTAATTTATAGGCAACTTAAAAGTAATCAAGAAGCAATTCTATATTCCACAATATATTTCATTCTATGTTTGAGCTATCAATTGGTAGAGCTTTATAAATTATGCTGGGAATTTTCTAAGACAATAATTATAACTTAAATTCAAGGAGAGGACAAAATTTACAAGCTAAACAGGTTGTTTCAGAGATAAAAGACTAGAGTCTAAATGTTTGTATCCTCTGAAAATTTATACATAGAAACATAATCCCCTACCTGATGGTATTAGAGGTAGAGCCTTTGGGAGGTCATGAGGTTATTAGGTCATAGGGTGAAACCCTCATGAATGGGATTAGTGTCCTTATAAAAGAGACCCTAGAGAGCTCACAGAGCTTCTGCCACATGAAGACACAGAACACAGCTATGAACCAGAAAGCAGGCCTTCACCAAATAATGAATCTGCAGGCACTCAGATCTTGGATTTCCCAGCCTCCTGAACTTTGAGAAACAAATTTCTGTTTTTTATATGTCACCTAACATGTAGTAGTTTGTTATATCATCTACTAAGGACTAAGATAGTGGAACTCAATAAAAACTGCTGTAATCTGACTATAGGAATAGAATATTGGTAGATAATAGTCTTTCAGGACAAAAACTAACCTTTTTGCTCTCGTCATGTATTAATACCTCCTGAAACAGAGTCAATAGAGTCTGTATATTCAATGAATGACAACAAATGTAAAGCAGAATTGTTCATTTCTAACAACTTTATGCCGATAATGGTTCATTAGCATAAAGGAATAATGGAAAAACTTATCTTCCAGTCACTTGTTTCAAATTCCTATTAACTTCAGAGAAAGGGGAAAAGAAAGTAGTATCTGAGTGCCTTCATGCTAAGTATTTTTCATATTTCATCTCATTTATCCTTCAAAACATTGAATTATTACTACCATTTTAAAGCTAAGAAAACTCTCAGAGAGCTTAAAGAAGTTGTCCAAATTCACACAGTTAAGCAAATGGCGGAATCAGTCTCATTTCTTATTCTCTGGCTACATTCTTGAAGTTAAGGTGAAGTATTACTTTTGTCACTCATACTCATCTTTTTTTAAGATCAGCAGAAATTTTACTTCTATCCTCTCATGATCCTCCTAATCAGAGTAACTGCAATGTGCCACCTCATCACTTTGTTCATTTATTTGTAACAGCACTCACCACACTGTACAGAAATTTTTGTGTAGACTTGACTTATCAATTAAATCATGTACTCTTCAGGGTCAAGAAGCATATCTTATCTTTATAAACAGTACCCATTACAAAAAACATGTGTTCAGTAAATGTTAGGGGAATAAATGAATGGTTGAGACAACTGGACTAAATCTTATGTTTTCCCTCTGGAAACCATCCCTTCTCCATCTTCACAATTGTCAGAAAAAAATAAAGACCAAAGTTTATACAGCAGCACAAAAATACAGAACATCAAACAGAAAGCCAATAGCCCTGGACTTAGTCTATACCATTCACTAACTTAACACTGGGCAAAGCAATCAGCATAGAATGACAGGTCCTCAGTAGGTTCATTTGCAAGTTTTATCCACTCATAAACTATATGCATAATCCATACTGATTTGCTTGGTAGATTCAATGTTCAATATTATAGATATTAATCTTTTATCTGACCAATTTAAAATACATTTTTCCTCTATTATGCTGCTTCTCCATACTGGCATTACTGGGTTGCATTGTATAGAAGTTTTTTAATTGTATGCATTTTTCTTTAAATGTTTTCTGCTGTTTCAATGATTTTTTAAACTTTTCCCTTAAATTCAAGAGAAGAACATCATTCTACTTCCTTATAACAAACTATACTCTTAACAAATGCCTATGTACTAAGCTCTTTCTGACTGGATTTGGGGAGAAAGTTTTATTTCCAATTTTAATTTTCTTAACTTCAAGGAAGAAACACTTAGCATTTAATTCACCTATTTAAGAAAAAATATGAAATACAGTATTTTTATAAATGATTCATGAAGATGCATAAGAAAAGGAATCTTCTTCACCTGTAAGAGGTGGGATATCAGGATTAACTGTTCCTTCTTCTTCTAAACCATTATTTATTGTTGGTCTCACTTGAACTGATTGATTTGAGTAAGCTGCTCCATTAGTTGATGTAGTAGTACTGGTAGTGATCTCATCCACCTGTTCCATATCAAGTTGTTTTACTATCTCTTCAGCTTCCATGGCCTGTCCTGGGGAATCGGATCCTGATGTTCCTGAAATCATGATTTAGTGTACTCACAATCATCATTTTTAAAAAAGAGACCAGGTGAAAGAACAGATGTTGTTTAAGGCTACAAATGTAGAAATAGTAAATGAACCCTAGAGATCTAAGGTACAGTACAGTGAACACAGACAACAATACTCTATTATAATCATTAAACTTGCTGAAAGAAAGAACTTAGTTATTATTTTTAGAACTTAATTTTTCCAACCACTATTTAAAGAAGGGATAATTATTTAAGATGATAGAGGTGTTAATTGTCACTACAATGGCAATCACATTACAATATGTAAGTGTATCAAATCATACTGTATAACCTAAATTTATACAATGTCAGATATATTTCAATTAGAAATTAAAATTAAAAACTCATCAAGATTGAGAAAAACTAAATGTAACAGAAACAAAGCCAAGGATACCACTGTTTAATGAGTCTCTTCCAGACATTTCAAACAATGAGGAATAAATACTATTACAAGCTAGAGTAATATTTGTGAAAAGTTTTTAAACTTTTTAAGAGTGTTCAAATAGTTTAGAAACTTAAGAGTCAGACAAGTCATAACCTAGAACTTTATTTTTTGATATAATTGATATATATATATATATATATAACATTATATATGTTTCAGATGTACATACTGATTTAATACATTATATACTGAATATGATTACCAACCCAGCATTAGCTAACACCTCTATCTGGCCATATAATTGTCATTTGTTTTTCCTGGTGAGAACATTTAAGATCTAGTCTTCTAGCAACTTTGAAGTATCTAATATGGCACTGTTGACTACAGAACATATTTTCATTCAAGCAAGTATCATGTGTAATTGCCTACTATGTGCTAGGCACTATATATGAATGAATGAATGAATGATTGATACATATATACTTGAATGAATTTTATTTATATATTCATTATCCTCAAAATAGCTCCTGATCTTTCCAGTACTAAGCATCCTAGCCACTGTGGGAATTTTCTGTTTTTAAACCAGAAGTATTTATCTAAGAATGAGCTAATCATTCCCCAATAATGTAAATCTTTTATTCAGAGACAAGAATAATTTCTCAGTAACAAAATTCCACCTCAATAACAAAGACTGAAGTTAATTTCCTCATTATACTCAGCCATCACCTAGATGACTCTGCTGCCCAATTATTCTTCCACTATGGAATGACCCGTCTTTCCATTTCTTTACTAAATCCTTCAAATGTCATTTTCAACAAAATCACCTCCAATATTCTCAACTTCTTCACCAAATACTCCTTCTCACTCACTGCTTTAAATTTAACATCTTTCCAAAAAACATCTCTTTCCTGATACACTTCCCTCAGAGCTCTTTATTCTCCCATACTCAATGTACTAATAGAAACAGAATTCATTTATCTCTGTTGCTGCTACCTAATCATTGGTTTACTAGTGTGGCTCCTTTAAGACTGATGTTGCCTGACTATGTAATTCTCCGCTTATGCCCTCTGCTGTCATCTACCATCTATTGCATCTTCTCTCAAGCACAGAGGAATTTAACAATGAGCTACCAGTTTACAACTCCATTAAATAACTCTCCAGTTATTACAGGTGATGTCAATGATTGAAACCTAAAATTCAAATATCCCTACCACAACCTCCTAATCTTCTAATTATCTATTTCATACTCATATTACATTTGACCATGTTTGGTAAAGTCCTGTCTCTTTTATTCCAAACACATCCCTCAGTGGCTTCTTCACCACCCTTCTCATCTACAGATGTTAGACTTCATGGTATATCACTTAAACCACTTTCAAACCAGCAGCCTCAGTGTCCTTACTCCCTTGTCTTTCCACTCTCGTCCATCATAAAAGGATGAAGCTCAAATCTTACCATGTTTGTTTTAATATGACTTCTTTATAATTCTCTTATCTTATTCCCTTCCAGTCCAATCAACTCCAACACTCCAACTGTGACAATGTAATTTCAGTTTCTCAAATACACTATGCCTTTGCTTACACAGCTCCTTCTACCTGGAATGCCCTTTATCACCTTTCAAGATTCAGCTTTTCTATGAACCCTTTTGTGAGCTGCCACCCAGAATACAGGACACTCCATTCTTTGAATACGCCACTGTCCCAATAATAAACCTCTACATATGCACCTACAAAAATTTTATTATGCTTATTTATATATCTCTCCTGCTTATAAAATGTATGCTTTTTGAGGTCAGAGACCGTCTTATCCATTAATCATATTTGAATTTCCAGTGACTAACATACAATGGTTGGAATACAGCAGATGCTCAACATTTGCTGAGTCAACTGAAATCTTCAAATCACATATATAAGTATAATTATCCACTCAAATATTAAGAGGGTTAAGAATTTAAAGACTGGTCCAAGGTAACATGGCTCAACAGTGGCAGAGCTGCAATTTCAAAACAAGTTTATCTAACTCCAAAGTTAGATTCTTTTTACACTACACCAACATTTCCAAAGATTGTTCTATGGGACACTAGTTCTGTAAGGTATTAACAGATGTTCCACAAAAAAGGGCTCTTGGTCTAATATGTCTAGGAAATAGTGGGTTAAATGAAGTTAGCAGTAGTTTTTGTTTTGCTTTTACTCTCGGATTTTACAGTCCTTACCAAATGTACTAATATGCGTTATTTTTGCCCCTCAGGCCATCTTGATTTTACAGCGCACCAATCTACCTTTTAAAAATTATACTATTACCCAGAAATATAATTTAAATCAGAATTTAAATAATAAATTTAAATAAAGGTAACAAGGATTTAATGGCTATTTTCCATGTGCCCCATACTAGTAGAAGCAAAAAATATAGACCTTCAATGATCTCTTACCCTCAAATAAGAGAAACTAAAATTATGTATGAAATTAGGTATTAATCATCAGAAAAGATAAGACACTAGCTAAATCTTGAATGAAGGCAATTTTGAGTCTTTTGCAAAGGCATTACACAGTGAAAACCTTCAATTCATTTAGGTAATTTTACTGTCTATCTAAATGAAAGTTCCCTGTGGGGGCAGGGAGGAAGAGGATCACACAAATAATAAAAACAAACTGTAACAAAAAATGACCTAGTTTTAGCTCACTTAAAATATTCAACAAATTCCACTTTACTGATCCAGAATACTGAAAATGCTTCTGGATTCTCTCTTGCTCTCACTTGAAGGATTACAGAAATCATAACACAAAAAATAAAACTTTCCTGCCTGCCCAAAATTCATCATCTAGCTTTTCTAATAGTGAAAGCAGAGTTCATTCACTTCCAATAGAATTAAACATAATCTATATTTATTTCAGTCACTTAAAAAAAATGCCTTTTGGAAGCTGAGTATTTTCAGTGAGGCTAAAAACTGACATAAGATATTAACAAAATACCGGGTAAAATCAAATATATCTTTTAAAAGTCTGAGAAAATTATTAATTTTTTAAAGTGAATTTATGGCTAATGGTTTATACTTACCATTTTTATTTGCTGGTGAAAAAAAGTTGAAGACAGGAGAAAATATGGTCCCCAACAATGTAGTCCTTGGAGGACTGCCAGAGGAAGGATTATCTTCTAATTTTCCATTTTGTTTTACATGTTGATTTGTCATTTCATAACTACCAGCTTCTAAGACAAAAATAGAATAAGTTGTGATCCACAAAACATGACTTTCAGAAATGTGTTCTAAGCCATTCATTATAAAAATAACTCTTTCCCTCAAATACTTCATGAGAACTAATATTGAAGTTAGGAAAACATTATTTAAAAGAAATCCTGAGATAAATCACTTGTACATCCAACAAATTTCACTATAATGCTTTATAAATGCTATAATTCACTGAACTTTTTCCAAGTAGATTTTTTTATATCTACTTTGAAAATTTGTAATTATACAGATTGCAAGGCTTCAAATCAACACAATGTAACAGAAAACAAACTGTAAGTAAAGCAAGGAAGTTACAGTATCATAAACACAAATGCAAGATCTTTTCTTGGTTTATTTACATTTTGGGATACTGCCTACTTCATAAAACCTACTACCCATGCTATTTCTACACTAAACAAATAGAAGCAACATAGCTCTATTTAAGAAGATCACTATGTATAGAAGGCAGTGTCAAAAGTTACTTATGGATATTGAGGCCCCATTTCAGGGTAGTGAGGAAAAATAGCCAATTTTTAAAGATTTTTCTAGTCAATAAAACATTTTCATAGGTCTTTAGAAAATATGAAATAAAAATAAATTCTAATAAATATTTTGGTCAACACCCTTGCCCCTCTCTACAACTTTACCTATTATCTTCCTACATTTCTTTTCTTCTGTGCTATAGCTCTTTTAACTTATCACTTTTCTCCCTGATGGTCAATTTTAACAACAGAAATACATCACAGCATTGAGGGGAAGGTGTCAAAAATATTATTGCTGTTGTGTCTAAAATAGCATTCGTTAAAGACAGTAGGTACTGCATGCTACAGTGTCATTCTTAGAACTTCCCCTGACTGTGCTTGTTTTTCTTTTTGACTTTAAGGAACTTCTCAGCAATACAGTAAGATTTGGACCTAGAAAAGGGTTTAGCAGAAGCAACACTACTGACTTTGGGGCTGGGTAACTCTTTACTGTGGGACGCTGCCCTGTATATTTTAAGATGTTTAGTAGCATCCCTGACCTCCACCTGCTAGATGCTAGTAGCAACTCCTCCACAGGCAGAGATGACTAAAAGCGTCGCCAGACACTGACAAATGTACCATGAGGGAAAAAGTCACACCTAGCTAAAAACTACTGGTCTGAGTGATCCAAGCCCCCTCTGAGCTCTGAAATTCTCTAATACAGAAACAAATTCTTTTATGTATTTCAGACAAATTAGGTCACAATTATTAATGCCTTAAGAAATGAGTTCATTAGATGTAAAAATGTTGCTCCATACACATTTTCATGCTGAATAGAATAAAGCTAGGTGCTCTGCCTCTCCCCTCTTATTTTCACTCATCAAAGTAGATTTATATTAGGAGGGTAAATTTTTATTTCACTTCATGCTACTAATATTTAATACAATAGAAATCACAAAAAATAAGGCAGGAATTGCTCAGGGTAGATTTTTAAAAACAGACAAGAAATATGTCAGATGAGATCTCTACTTAGACCTAATAAAACAGTATCTAAATATTAACAAACCTCCATTTACTTGACTTTTCCGTCTTACTCGAGATATCTGTTTGTTAGGCTTTTCTCCTGCTCTTGGTGTTGATGTGATCAAATTATTATCTATACCACATTCAATTCTACTCCGTTTCGCAGGATTTTCTCTCTCTTCCTTAAGATATAAGAGGAAAAAACATTCATTCAGCACAGGCATTCTACCTTACAGGTTCCACTTTTAAAAATACAGAATGTATTGATGATGGGAGGAGTCTAGTAACCATAATGTTGCTCATGTAATTGTAGATTAATGATACCAAAAAAAAAAAAAACAGAATATAACATGACCCCCATGCTCACTGTAGCATTATTTATAACAGTCAAGATATGAAAACAACCTAAGTGTCCATCAATGGATGAATGGATAAAGAAAATACAAACACACACACACACACACACACACACACACACAATGGGATATTATTCAGCCATAAAAAAGAATGAAATCTTGCTGCTTGCAATGACATGAATAATCCTTGAGGGCATTATGCTAAGTGAAATAAGTCAGAAACACTACACGGTCTCACTTAGACATGGAATCTAAAAACAAACAGAAAACTAAAGTCAAAGATACAGTTAGTAGACTGCTGGTTGCCAGAGTGGCAGGTGGGCAAAATGAGTGAGGGGAGTCAAAAGGAACAAAATTCCGGCTACAAAATAATTAAGTTACTGGGATGTAATATACAGCAAAGTGACCATAGCTAATAGTACTGTACTAATACTTGAATGTTTCCAAGAGAGTAAATCTTAGAGGTTCTTATTCAAGAAAAAAACTTAACTATGTATGGTAACAGATGTTAACTAGACTTAACTACAGTGATAATTTACCCACATACAAATATCATATCATTATGTTGTACATATGAAACTAATATAGTGTTGTATGTCAATTATACCTCAAAAAAAAAAAAGATAAAATATGTTGTAATATACTTTTTCTGATTTTCATATCCAGGAGAAACAAAATAGAATTAATACACAACAGAAAACATAGGAAAAATCTGCCAGTGTCCTAAGAGTATTTATTAACACAATTGTAGTACACAAAAATAACTGGCATTGTCACAGTTCAGATCCTTTCCCCAGGGTCCATTCAATTTTTCATGCTTTTGAAATATTATTGTACAATGTGCTCTGAATTTTCATCAATTTTCCCCTATTCTTAAAATTGTACAAAAGAATAGAGGTTATTTCCTTGAAAACTCAGTAAGCGAACCCAACTGGAATTTATTATTTAAAAAAATAGAGCCTGCCACTGTCATACTCCCAGTGCTGACCTCAATTCTTCAAATGCTCAAATTAACACTAAGGAGTTAACTCCTTAACAAAGGTTTCTATTAATTTCCCTATATGGGGCAAATTCACATGACCAGTTTACACTATTTCTGCAATATTATTGACTAAAATGGTATACTCCAAGCAATAGCCTGACTTACTTTTCTGCATTTGTACATCTATTTTCTTCATTTGTAATTTCTCTAGTCATTTACCACATGAATGACTGATTTTCTTACATTACTGTAACATTGACTTTTCCTTCCTGTTTTTAATGAGGCTACCTAAAATCTTTTGATAAAGGTTAGAGTTTTAAATCTATATTATATATAATTTATACATATAATCAACATGCTTATTCAACAGGCATAACTTATCTATTTGTACTGAATATTTCTATTTGATGTTTTTACACCACAGCAAGTAATACATACTACCAAGCATTTTCTAAAGGTTGAACTTTAACCTGTTATTTCTGAAACAAACCTTGGTATTGTAAATAGCCAAAGTTACAATTCCCTGTTTGGATCAAAATAGAACTGCAAATAACATTCAATACAGAATTTTGCTTTTTCTTCGCAGTTTCTCTAATTTTTGGTAGCTCTATCAAAACATGTCATTATAGCACAAAAGATGTCTCAGTGATCCACAACAAACTTTCTCATATTTTCATTGTTTATCATTGTCCTGCATTTTAAAATGATGAGCAGGAAGGCTCATATCCTGAACACGGAATATTTGTTATCAGAAAATATAAGAGCTCTCTTTATTTAAAAAAGTTCTTCAAAAACAGAAATATTGCCACAAAGCCTTAACTACACTAAGTTTCAGCATCCTCCTGAACTCTTAATACATCTGCTGTAACATAAATACATATGTGTCTGAAAACCTCGGTTGCAACACTAAAAACAACAAGGCTTATGGAAAAAATTGGGTAGAGGAGGGTAAAAAGTGATACACTGGGGCAGATCGTCAGTGTGACTATAACTCTAACCATAGCACTAACAAAAACAATGACCAGAAACTCCAGAGGTAATTTGGACATGCCATACTCCAGGAGGCTAATAACACCAGCTGCAATGCTACCTGAGGGTTTAATAAAAAGTATCAAAAACAGAGAAGTAGAAACAAGGATGTATGGAAGATGAGAAGTGGAGCTTTAGGTCAGTACGGCAGCTAATATAGACACACAAGGACATGCAAACTGCCACATTAAGAGTCCCTGCTAGACCACGATGTACCTCTCTAGGAGGGAATTCTCACTGCAGATACCACTTTCAATTAAAAACTGTGTGTATGTGTGTTTGTGTGAGTGTTGGGGGTAGAGGAGGTGGGTGGTAATGCTTCTGCCTCAGTAGCAGCTGAGCTAGAATTTTTTTACTTTCTTGATGAAGGATAAAATTTAACTCCCATTATTCAGGATTCCCCAATCAGTTCAGGAAAAGTTATGTATAAATCAACAAATCATCCATGCTTTTTCTCCATCTACCAACACAGTACAAGCTAAGGAGTACTGTAGAAGTTTCACATACTATAGTAGAACAGACTATATACTGTAGCTAAATGAGAATACATTAAAATATTTCAGTGTATATCTCAAAGAGGAAGAATAAGCTACTAAGACCAAGGTTAAACTTCTGCTGTCATTGACAGTAAAATCCTATTCTTCAGAAAACCGTACTCAAATGTCCAATGATGTTCCAATTATGAAAGACAATTCAACATCCAATTCTAGTCTCTCTTGAACATTCAACTATATAATTTGGGGACATTTCAGACATGGTATGATTAAGAGGAACTAGGAAAAACAAGATAGTATATTACTGTACAGGTTGTTTTTATTTTTTATTTACTTTTTTAGTATTAATTTTTTATTCTGGTATCACTGATACACAATCACATGAGCAACGATGTGGTTACTAGATTTCCATTATCAAGTCCCACCACATACCCTATTTTACTCACTGTCCATCAGCACAGTAAGATGCTCTATCTTCTCTGTGCTACACTGCCTTCCCTGTCACTCCTCCTATATTATGTGTGCTAATCATAATGCCCCTTAGTCCCCTTATCCCTCCTTAAACCCCACCACCCCCAGTCCCTTTCCCTTTGTTAGTCCATTCTTGGGTTCTGTGATTCTGCTGCTGTTTTGTTCCTTCAGTTTTTGCTTTGTTGTTATACTCCACAAATGAGTGAAATCATTTGGTACTTGTCTTTCTCTCCCTGGTTTATTTCACTGAGCATAAATAACCTCTAGCTCCATCCACGTTGTTGAAAAAGGTGGGATTTCTTTTCTTCTTATGGCTGAATAATATCCATTCTGTATATGTAACACATCTTCTTTATCCATTCATCTACTGATGAACACTTAGGTTGCTGCCGTTTCTTGGCTATTGTAAATAGTGCTGTGACAAACATAGGGGTGCATATGTCTTTTTGAATCTGTGATCCTGCATTCTTAGGGTAAATTCCTAGGACTGGAATTCCTGGGGCAAATGGAATTTCTACTTTGAGTTTTTTGAGGAACCTCCACATAGCTTTCCACAATGGCTGAACTAATTTACATTCCCACCAGCAGTGTAGGAGGGTTCCCCTTTTTCCACACCCTTGCGAGCATTTGTTGTTCTGTGTCTTTCGGATGTTGGCCATCCTGACACAGGTGTGAGGTGATAGCTCACTGTAGCTTTAATTTGCATTTCTCTGATGATTAGCAATGTGGAGCATCTTTTCATGTGACTGTTGGCCATATGAATTTCTTCTTTGGAAAAGAGTCTGTTTCGATTCTGTACCCATTTTTTAATTGGCTTATTTGCTTTTTGTTTGCTGAGGTGTGTGAGCTCTTTATATATTTTGGATGTCAGCCCCTTATCAGAAATGTCATTTATGAATATATTATCCCATACTGTAGGATGATTTTTGTTCTACTGATGCTGTCCTTTGCTGTACAGAAGCTTTTTACTTTGATGTAGTCCCATGAGTTCATTTTTGCTTTTGTTTCCCCTACGCAGGGAGATATGCTCATGAAAAAGTTGCTCATGTTTATATTCAGAAGATTTTTGTCTGTATTTTCTTCTAAGAGTTTTATGACTTAGATCCAGGTCTTTGATCCATTTCTAGTTTACTTTTGTATATGGAGTTAGGCAATAATCCAGGTTCATTCTCTTACATGCAGCTGCCCAGTTTTACCAACACCACCTGTTGAAGAGGCTGTCATTTCCCCATTGTATATCCATGGCTCCCTTATTGCATATTAATTTACCATATATACTTGGGTTAATATCTGGACTCTCGAACTCTGTTCCACTGGTCTAAGGGCCTGTTCTTGTGCCAGTATCAAATTGTCTTGATTACAGTGGCTTTGTATTAGAGCTTAAAGTTCAGAAGTGCAATCACCCCACTCTATTCTTCCTTCTCAGGATTGCTTTGGCTATTTGGGGTCTTCTCTTGTTTCATATGAATTTTAAAACTATTTGTTCCAGTTCGTTGAAGAATGCTGTTGGTATTTTGATAGGGATTGCATTGAATCTGTAGATTCTTTAGGCAGGATGGCCATTTTGACAATATTAATCCTTCCTACGAAAAAGCATGGGATGAATTTCCATTTCTTGCTTTCCTTTATAATTTCTCTCAAGAGTGTTTTGTAGTTTCCAGAGTGTAGGTCTTTCCCTTCCTTGGTTAGGTTTGTTCCTAGGTATTTTATTATTTTTGATGCAACTGTGAATGGAATTGTTTTCCTGATTTCTCTTTCTGCTAGTTCATTGTTAGTGTACAGGAATGCAACAGACTTCTGTATATTAATTTTGTATCCTGCAACTTTAGTGAATTCAGTTATTAATTCTA